CTATTCTACTCTCAATATTTTCTATTCTACTTCATTCTATTCTATTCTTATTCTATTCTACTCCATATTTTCCATTCTACTCCATATTTTCTATTCTACTCCTATTCTATTCTACTCCATATTTTCTATTCTACTCCATTCCATTCTATTCTATTTTTATACAGGTAATCCTCAACTTACAACAGTTCACTGAGTGACTGTTCAAAGTTATGACGGCTCTGAAAAGAGTGATTTATGACTGTTTTTCACACTTATGACCATTGCAGCATCCATATGGTCATGTGATCAAAATTCAGATGCTTGGCAACAGGTTCATACATATGAGTGTTGCAGTGTCCTGGAGTCATGTGATCCCCTTTTGTGACCTGAATGAGGAAAGTCAATGGGGAAGCCAGATTCACTTAACAACCATGTTACTAATTTAACAACTGCAGTGATTCACTTAACGTCTGTGGCAAGAAAGGTCACTTAACTGATGTCTCGCTTAGCAACAGAAATTTTGGGCTAAATTGTGTTTGTAAGTCAAGGACTACCTGTATTTGGCATTTCTGGACTGCCTCTCTTCCTCAGATGAGGACTCTGGGCGGTGTGCAGTACAGTATCAAAATATAAAATGGCATATGAGCATTCAAAAGTTTAATTTTTAAAAGATTGTAAAATTATTAGAAATCAACATTCTAACACCAAGCTTTGAGGAGCCTTGCAGTGACTTTCCATAGTTCTGTTGATTGGAGCTGTTAGGAACACGTGTTCTTACATCCCTGAAAAATTTCTTATGTTCCCCTTTGGTCACCATGATTAAAAAAAGATGTTGAGACTCCAGAAAGAGTGCAGAGAAGAGCAACAAAGATGATTGGGGACTGGAGGCTAGAGCATATGAAGAACCATTGCAGACATTGAATATGTCTAGTCTAATGAAAAGAAGGACTGAGGCTGACATGATAGCAGTGTTCCAATATTGGAGGAGTTGCCACGGAGAGGAGAGGGTTGGCCTGCTTGGTGCCTAATGTTGGTTATTAAAATTAAGTTGTCCTAAAGAATTAGGAACAGAAAAACTCTTGTGTTTTATAATTCCTGCTATTGATATTATTGTATTTCTTCTAGTACTAAAGAAATGGATTTATTGCTTCGATGTTTGATTTCTTACTGACTCTACCTTGCTTTCTTTATGCTTCCCACTCATCAGGATTTGGTGGGCTTGAAGCAGCAAATTCCACTGCCACTGGGTTTAATTTTGGGGGTTTTGGATTAACTGCTAATCCTGCAGTGAACTTTAATATTGGGAATTTTGGTGTCTCTACTACTTCGGCGCCACCATTTAATTTTGGTAACAGTCTGGCCAGCGCAGGTAGAGAATATTAATGTGATGCTCATAATTATTTTGTTTTTGGAGGGATCCAAGAATTCAGTTTATACTTGTCAGTTTTTTAAAGTTCATCCATGAACGAGTTGCATTAAAATCTGTAAAAAGTCCTTCAAGCCAAGATTTGACAAAACATTTCTCTGCTTTTATTATTCATTTTAAAAATAATTTACATATGATTTTCTACCTGAAATGCTTTATTTATAAAAGAAAACCCAGAGTTTATGAAATGGACAGCCTATACATTTAATCAATAAAATGTATAACTACCCCAATCTGTTATGACTCTGGGTGGCTTACAAAATATATTGGAAAAATAGTCTGCCTTACAGTGAAATGGGAAGCAAGATTAATAAATAATAATAAAGTACAATTACCAATAGACCAGAATAATAACAGTCAAAAGCAGAACATTGTTCAGGGGTCATCATCCAAGCATAAGATCTGAAGTTATAGCCAGGTCTTAAGGATGCGCTAAATAGTTCCAGAAATTTGCCAGATTTCTTCATTGTTTTATCAGTGATAATAACTAAAAATTCAGCTGTGCTTAGAGATGTAGGAATTATCATGAATAAGTGTTCTCATTTCTAACGGTAGCTGCATAAAAAATAGCAGAAATCAGGTTAACTCAGTGGCCAAGAAATTAAGCATGATGAACTGAGAGCAAATGTAAAATTTGCACAGAGCTGTAAGTTGATTTTTAATGCATTTCCACTCAGATAATAAATGCATAGCAAGAAGGTACACAGTCTTGCTGATGGAAGGGACACACATATATACACAAACACTTGTGCAAATATGTGTATACATGTAAGGTATATAGTGTTCTGGCAAATATTCTCAGTTATACTTCTAGTGTATGTCTTTGAGTCTGTGTATATGAGCATGTTTTCAAATCATATGGATCAAGATTGGGATATGATTTTTTTGCCCAAACAAGATGAACCCAATTACCTTATAATACTTGCAGGGATACAGGGTTGTAATTCTATGGCATAAGGGCCAAAACTATTTCATAATTTAAAGGTATTTGTTTCTGTTTCTTGAATTCTTGGACTCTGCTACATTTATATATATTTTCCATTTCCTGTGTCTCTTCATTGGATTTCAATCATGAATCCACCATGCTTTTCTCAAGGTTCTGTGGAAAAACAAATTGTATACGATCAGCACCCCAAAAAAAAAAAATTCCCGGCTGGCTCTGATTCAAAACATTCAACAACCAAGACTTTTTGTTTAAAAAAAATCTATTTTTGCTGACTTTAATAGTAATTATCTCTGTATTTACCTCTATTTTTTGTATATTTCTTTTGTATTAATTGTTATAGCTGCTCGTATATGAAATTATCTTCATTTCATAGTTCCCTTCATTTCTGTGCTATGTATGCAGACATTTCAACATTCAATGCATTGTAAATTCACATTCACTGTTAAAACAATCATCATCTTAAGTAGTAATCCTAATAACTCTGTTTTGTGATTCATTGGAATTGTTTTCTCAGTATGCATTTTCTGTGGAACTGGTTTGCAAGGAAAAATGAAGAAGGATACAGAAATGTGATTTGATCAGTTCAATTCATGTAGAAACTGCTGCTTGTTTAGATAGACTCATAGAACTTGCAAAGATGGTTCAGCAGTTATTGCTATCCAAGTAACAATAACAAACCACTTCTGATCCTTCCCATATATATTAAATTGTTTCCCTGTGCTTGAGAGAGTCCCAGAATTATTAATCCATCCCACTTGCTTATATATGGTGGGACTTCATTAACATGTTCTCTCTCCTAGCATACTTTAGCTAATCTGGAAAAGAAGTTTAACAGGATTTGATCTGGTTAGTATTTAGATGCAGGTTAACCTGGAAAACTGTAGGCTACTCTGAAAGTTTGAAAACAAAAGTCCTGCAAGAAAGTTATAATTAATCCTTATCATGTTCTTATCAAGATAACTACATGAGGGCGTTCATAAAGTTTCTAGGAATTGAGCTTAAGTTCACTTCCTTCCTTCCTTCCTTCCCTTTTTTCTTTCTTTTTCATTACCACTCTCAGTGACTCTGGGCGGCCTACAAAAATTTATTTATTTATTTAGTGTATGGCAAATACATGGATTTATCAGACATTGGGCCGGAGTAAGCCCTTGATGGACATTGGGACACAATGTATTTTGTTCAGGAGCACCACAGTTACACTGGATGGTATTGTATGCTGCCGTAAAGTCGATGAACACATGTGGCTTTTAAGTCTTGCTGGAAACCAGCCTCGATATGTCCTGTTAGGCCCAATCTGTCTTGTATCAGTTGCCATGTATTTAGAGAGCCAGGAGTTCTGCAAAGATGTCTGGTTGCCAGCTGTCATTAACTGCCAATTCTTCAGTGTAGTCTGGCTGCCAGTTGTTGCTAGTCGTTTGGTTCACACTACCATGCAATCCAGGGTGCACCATGAGGCGAACTAGCATCACACCCCTCCAATATACAACATAAGAATAATAACACCCCCAGCCTGATAGCAACAGAAAAACTGCTTGATGGGCTTCATCCTGCTGTGGGTTCCTTTAGGTCTATTGGCAAAACCAGGTCTTTGGGGTCTTGCAATAGAGGATCAAAGTAGGGGACTGTCTAATCTCTGCAAGGATAATATTCCAAAGCGGGGAGGAGCCACCACAGAGAAGGCTCTTCTGGGTCCCACTGGGTGTACCTCTTTAGAAGAGGGAACCCACAACATCCCTTGCCTCCCTGCTCTAGTGGGTCTGGTATACGGGACTGGGAAAAGATGATCCTTCAAATAATTACAATGATTATTTTAAAAAAATGTTTTCATTGTACGGTTGGCTGGGGAATACTAGGAGTTGAAGTCCACACATTTTCAAGCAGACAAGGCTGAGAAATACCAGCCTTCAGTAAATATGTCTCCTCCTCATCCGAATTGTGAGCAAATATATATTTTTACTAGATTTTCTCCTTCCGCCTAAAAAAGGGTCGCAAGTGTATGTACATTTTCTCTAACGATGAACTAATGCTGGCTATTTTCTGCTGTCACTGGATCTTGTGTGAGTATCAGATCACATCAGCCTCATTCATTTGTCACCATCTCTCTTCTCCAATCAGCATGCTGTCATTGAACAATTGACTGCCTTGCAAGAAGTGATCCTCCTTTTAATTTACATAATTTGGTTTCCTAGGAGCTTTTGGGGGCTTCGGGACCAACACCACCACCCCGGGATCCACCTTCAGTTTCTCAACTCCTACAAATACAGGTAAGTGGCCGAAAGTCACCTATTGTTCTCGCCCAGCCTTGGCAAGTAGTGGTAAGATGTTTCCTTGCGAGTAAAACAAACATTTTGATAACAGGGCGGGAACAGTCTTTTATTCACAGGGATAAACAAAAAATCAAAACGTAAGTAGTCCCAATAAACCTCGGTTTATCCAAGAATTCTGAATTGTTTGCTGTATGTTAAAAACAAATGGTCTGTGACAACTGGCCATGCCCAAAGCCCTCCTATTTATTTTCCAGCCAGGGAGGGGCTGGCTAATATTTGCGTCTGCCTCTCCCTGAGAGCCGGTTTATTGTCTTCCATTACTCCTCTCCCCTCCCCTTCACATGTATCTGGGCCCCATCTGTTCCTCCCCCTCACCCAGCTCAGGCCCCAAAGGCATCTGCGCCTCCACCTGGGGAGGATGGACCCCCCCCCCCCCCGCTGCCTCTGATGCTGTCTCTTTATCAGAGCCTTCCAAAGGCTTCAAAACTGGCCCAGGCTCTCCCTCCACCTGCTCCTCATTGACTGCAGCTATCTCTGCTGGCAGGCGAGTCAGAACACCTGTATAGATATGGCTTTCTGATTAAAATACATGCGCATTAAGGGAAATTAGCTTGCTTCTTGGCTGACGTTCTCTCTCCTTCCTCCAGGGTTGTTTGGAGCTACCCAGAACAAAAGCTTTGGGTTTGGTACCACCTTTGGAACAGCACCAACTACAGGAACTGGGCTTGGCACCGGCTTGGGAACCGGTTTGGGATTTGGTGGTTTCAACACTCAGCAGCAACCAAGTAAGTAGCGGTAATACTTGACTTAACGACCACAATTAAGCCCAAATATTTCTGTTGCTAAGCGAGACAATTGTTATGTAAGATTTGTATCATTTTGCAACCTAAGGGAATCACTGTAGTTGTTATGTTAGTGACACGGTTGCTCAATGAATCTGTCTTCCCCATTGAGTTTGCTTATCAGAAGGTGGTAAGAGGTGATCACGTGACCCACGGGACTTTGCAACCATGATCAATATGAACCAGTTGCCAAGTGTCCGAATTTTGATCACATGACCCCGGGGATGCTGCTACGGCCATCAGTGTGAAAAACGGTCATAAGTCACTTTTTTCAGTGCTGTTGTGACTTTGAATGGTCACTAAATGAACTGTTGTTAAGTCGACAACTACCTATAGTTAGAGGTTAACTATTTTCAAAGAGTTTATGTAAACTCTCTGTGTTAAGCTGGAGAAATCTCCCTCTTCAACAGGATAGTTTTCTCGTCTTCTTTTGACCGACCTGCAGCTAGCCGGGGCGAAGCCACTGTTCTCCCACCCCTTTGTGAACTAATGAGTGCTCTGTGGGCGAAGAGACAATATCCTCAATCAATATTCCAATCAGCTGTTTCCAGAAGTCATCACAGCTATTTCTGAACAGGACTTTGAAATAATAATTAAAAAAAAGACGCTGAAAGTGTTTTTGATGAAAATGTAGGATCACATAGAGCTTGTCATCATCACTGATCAGACAATACAAACCTGACCTACTGCAGGAGCATTCTGGGAAATGCCCCAATTCATTTGGGGCTGTCCCAGGTGAGACAAAGCTGAATTACGTTGTCGGAGGCATCCCAATGCTCATTCCTAGCTGCTCTTAAATTTGGTTTGGTTTTTTTTTTGAATCTGGGACTTAAAACAGTCATGGGACTTTTTAAAGCAACTTTGCATGCTCCCTGGAGTTTTCAGAGAAAAAGGAAAAGTCCATAAGGCATTTCAGTCTTAACAACTGGTAATGCCTGAAACAAAAGTTTCCAGTATAGGTAGTCCTTGAGTTACAACCATTCATTTAGCGAGCATCCAAAGTTACAGTGGCGCTGAAAAAAGGTGACTGGTTCTTGCACTTACAGCCCTTGCCGCATCCCCAGGGGCACGGGAGCAAAATCCAGGTGTTTGGCAACTGGAACACATTTATGATGTCTGCAGCATCCCAGGCACATGTGATCCCTTCTACAACCTTCTGGCAAGCAAAGTCAATAGGGGAGGCTAGATTTGCTTAATGACTGGGATTCACTTAACAACGCTAGTTATTTGCTTAAACCACTGTGGCAAAGAAGGTCATAAAAATCAGGTTGAACTGACCTAATGACCACCTTGATTAGCAATGGGAATTCTGGTCCTAATTATGGCCTGTGGTATTTAATCATCTAAAGTCACCTGGCTGTATTTCATGCCTGAGGCAGACCTAGAACTCTTCATCTTCTGGTTTCTAGTGGTGCCTTTAACCACTAGACCAAACTGGCTCTCTAATTCTGTAGATCAGTGTTTCTCAACCTTGGCCACTTGAAGACAGGTGAACTTCAACTCCCAGAATTCCCCAGCCACTAAAGAATTGAAGTTGTTGAGGTAATTCCCCGTTAGGAGAATGAGCGTATACAGGGAGACGTAATGAGAATAATGTTGAATAATATACACACAACACACAGATACACTGTACAGTAAATGTAGTTTTTTTACTTCCAATAAACGTTTAAGCAAAGTTCAAACACAGTCCAAGTCATTCACAGTTAAATCAGTCAGTTTTCAATCCAGGGATAATCCAATAACAAAGTCCAGTATCAAAAAAAGTTCAGTAACAGACTTACATCAAATCCAAGAATAACAGTCAATTAGGAGGAACGGCAATACTCTCCAACAGAAGGGAACAGAAACTGACTGAGACTGAGACTCTCTTCTGAGACTAAACAACCCAGGTTTCTGGCTCCATCTTATGGCCGTTTTGTAGACTTGACCTGCCTTTTAATAGTGGATCTTCTAATCCAACTTTAGCACTTGGAGGTCTCTTCAGCCAGCCTGCTCAAGCCCCCACACAGTCCAACCAGCTGATCAACACAGCCAGTGCGCTTTCTGCCCCCACCCTCTTGGGAGATGAGCGAGATGCCATTCTGGCCAAGTGGAATCAGCTGCAGGCATTTTGGGGCACAGGCAAAGGGTATTTCAACAACAACATTGCCCCAGTGGAATTTACGCAGGAGAACCCATTCTGCAGATTTAAGGTAGGAGGTCTTTCTCTCATCCTTGTGTCTGAACTATTGAACTATTACCATCTGGCAGACGGTACAGAATAATAAAAACAAGGACAAATAGGCTGAAAAACAGCTTCTATCCCAGGGCAGTAGCTCTTGAATTCTGTTGTATAGTGCAGTGTTGGTGTGGTGTCGGGGGTTTCTGGTTCAATGGGTGAAGGGTGTGTGTTTGTGTTTATTTTCATGGTCATGGTCATGATGTACACTGAAGATGGTGTTTGATTTCATTGTATGAGGTGCAGTGACAATAAAGTAAACTAAATCACTAAAACTGGATTGAAACATTTGGTTGGCTGGCTGTGGGTGAGCTGTTCCGTCTGATGGGAATTTAAAGATAATCAGCTTTAATCTGTGTCAGCTCAGTGTTCACTTTTAATGTCTCCTTAGCACTTCTGTTGATACAGAAAAAGAATGAGCATCTGCAACTGAAAAGACCGTTGTCTCTTTTACAGGCCGTGGGCTACAGCTGCATGCCCAACAACAAGGACGAAGATGGCTTGGTGGCACTAGTCTTCAACAAAAAAGAAACAGAGATTCGTGGTCAGCAGCAGCAACTTGTGGAATCGTTGCACAAAATCTTGGGTTCAAACCAGACGCTTATGGTCAATGTAGAAGGTGTAAAGACAATGCCAGATGACCAGTAAGACAATTGGGTACTCTATATAAACCCTGAAAGAGCTGTGGGGGCGCAGTATTTCAGACTAACAAGAAAGATTTTTTGTAGCTCAGGATTGGAATGAGGGTCCTTGGTGCTCTCTGAGCTTGGTGGTTTTCTTACAGATGTTTCATTACCCAACTAGGTAACATCATCAGTGTTGATAATGTTACCTGATTTGAGTAAGAAAACATCTGCAAGAAAACAAGCAAGCTTAAGAGTACCAAGGACCCTTCATTTCAGGCCACTTCTGCCCACAGCCTGGAGTTCGATTCTGACCAGCTCAAGGTTGATTCAACCTTCCATTTTACCATGGGTAAAATGAGGTCTGAGATTGTTGGGGGCAAATATGCTGTCTGTAAACCGCTTAGAAAGGGCTGTAAAGGACTCTGAAGCGGTATATAAGTCTAAGTGCTATTGCTATATTTGATCCTATCAATAAACAGCCTGAAGTTTCCCAAACCAAGGCTAAACTTAAGATTTATTGTGTTTAGATGGCCTCCGATAAAACTCTCATTCATTTGTCCTCTGCTCATCTGCTCAGTAGTCTGGTTCACACCACACACTTTAAGAGAGAGGGTTTTTTTTTTCCCCTGAATGCATCGGGTGAACTCCATCATTATTTTTAAACAATGGCTTAGATTTGGGTTGTATGAAGAGAATTGTAGTTTATTCAGTAAATGCTGGCTAAACTAAACTGCAGATGTGTGGAGTGCTACTTCTGACCTATTGGTCTCCCTGGTAGCAAAAAAAGTGAAATTCATCCAGAGGTTTTTCATCCTGGGGAAATTCACCTGTACCTTTTCCCTCCGTACTATAATCCAATAAGACCCAACAGAAAATGGATTCTTTTTCCTGCACTCTGATTTTCAGTGCTATGAGATTTTCCTTTGAAAACAACAGGAACGGGGACATCTTACTTCCTTAAAACATTCAGTGGTTGAAGTTTGCGGCGTGCCACTTGACACCAAATAACTACATAATTCAAAAATCTTTCATAGGTTAATCCTCGACTTGCAAACATAATTGAGCCCATAATTTTGGTCATAAGTCATGGTCATTAAGCAGGCTGCCATGTGACCCCATCAGATTTTTACAACCCAAAATGCAGCCATGAGGCAGAGAGAGGCAGTCATCAGAACTTCAGATCTTTTTCTGAGGCCTATCGTAACTTTGAACAGTTGCTAAGTGACCAGTCGTAAGTCAGGGCCTGCCTGCCTGCCTGTCAAATCTGAATCTTTTCCCTGATCTTTTAGGACAGAAATAGTGATCTATGTGGTTGAACGGTCACCCAACGGGACTTCCAGGCGGGTTCCAGCCACCACCCTGTATGCGCACTTTGAACAAGCCAACATCAAAACCCAGTTGCAGCAGCTTGGCGTGACCCTCAGCATGGCCAGGACGGAGCTCTCTCCAGCACAGGTTAAGCAGTTGCTGCAGCATCCTCCTGCAGGTAAACCAGGCTTGGGGTGGATAATCAAGTATTCCTCTCGTACAAGTGAGCGAATGAATGGGTGTTTTTAAGGAAGTGAGTGTTTGAGCAGTTCTTGGAGCAAATGCCTTATAAAGGAAGAGCTAGCTTTGTAAACAAGGATGAGGACTCGGTACTTTTGACTGCAAATGGTCTTCTCACTAAATTCCTGTGAGGTTGTTTGGACAGTAATTACAGTTTCAAAAGATACTGCATTAGGACAGGAAGGAAAGAATATTTGTTGAGTCTGTCAGCACTGAACATGAAACCAGTGAGAGGCCACTACCTAAGAAAAAACAATTTCCTGTGTTTGTGTTACATTTAAGCAAGGGAAACTCTATCATTCAGTTGTCTTTGACCCATTAAGGAGAAACTGCCTTCCCTCCCTCCCTCCCTCTCCCTCCCTTCTTTCCTTCTCTTTCCCTTCTTTCCTTTTCTTCTTTCCTTCTCACACAACCTCCCTCCCTCCCTCCTTCCTTTCTCACACAACTTCCCTTCTTCCCTTCTCTTCTTTTTCACACAGTCTTTCTTCTTTTCCTTCCTTCCTTCCTTCCTTCCTTCCCTTCAGCTTCCTTCCCTTCTTTCTCTTTGTTCTCACACAACCTTCCTCCCTCCCTCTCTTCTCACACAACTTCTCTTCTTTTTCACACAATCTTCCTTCCTTCCTTCCTTGCATCCATGTTTTATATGGCTTCTCATATCACATAGTGCCGCTAAGCAGCCTACAAAGACTAAAACTACAAACACGCGCGCACACACTCATACTAATGTAACCCCTGATATTAAAGGATTTGGGGTTTGTTACATGAATGAGTCTCAGAAATATGATTATGTTATTTATTTACTTATTAATCAAATTTATATAGCTGCCCATCTCACCTGAGACATTTATATACACTACATTTGCTTATATACACACCATTCCTTTGTATTAGAAAAGGGAATCTTTACATGACCCTGAGGATCTGGTTTAAATTGGTTTACCTGCTAACTTAAAAGGAAAAGCTCTTAGATCTTAATTGGCATGGTATGTTTATTATTTCAACTAGAATTTCCAGTATTTTACCTAAACTTTAAAGATTAAACCATAAGGGGTATTTCCTGTTCAAAAGAAAGGCAAACCTTTTTTTTTAATCCTTTGTTATACTAATAAAAGATGGAGAAGAAATCAGCTCTATTCTTCTCCCTTTTACAGGTGTTGATCCAATCATTTGGGAACAGGCCAAAGTGGACAACCCAGATCCTGAAAAGTAAGCGGGCTTGCAAGATGACTCATAAGAAGCTTACCTTTGGAGTAATTTGCGGAAAGAATAACAACATTTTCCAGAGGAGGGATGGAGAAATTGAAATAATTGGTTCAGAAAATAAAACAAAACAAGATTCTTGCTGCAAAGCGGCTGCTTTGATGTTTGGAAGAAGCTTTTTTCTCTCCCATATTAAATTATCTCTTTCCTTCTCATCTCCGCAGTTTTGTTCTCCATTCCTTTTTCCTTCTCTTCTTTCTTAGTCGGTCTTCATTTTTCTTCTTTTTTGTTAATGAAAAACATCTAATTTTATAAAGTAAATCAAAGGCTCCTAATTATTTCTGTAGGAAATGTTGTATTTTTTTTCCACTCCTTTATGATGTACAAAAACATTATTACTCCGCAGATTCATAGCACTCCTATTTCTCCCCTGGCACCAACAGTATTTCATGTAAATGAGTGTTTCTCAAACCTCAGTGACTTTTTAAGACGTGGATTCCAACTCCCAGAATTCCCCATGGTTGGTTTGAGAAACACTGGCTAAAATTATTGTTCAATCTACGATCTGCAAGGTAATAATTGCCCCGCCTTTTAAAGTGTGTATTTTAATTTTTTGCATTTATGTTCATCTTACTTTAGGATAAATAGCTTTATTAATTGGTTTTTTAATTGCTCTCTGTGTATCACACCGGGGCTCCTTTGGCAAGAAGGGATTGATGGCAACGGTTGCCATTCCTCTATTTTTTGCTGATTCCATGCTCTTAACGTCCGCAGGCTGATTCCAGTCCCAATGGTTGGCTTCAAGGAACTCTTAAGGAGGTTGAAAGTTCAAGACCAAATGACAAAGCAGCACCAGAGCCGGCTGGATGTAAGTGTCTGCTCTTTGACCCCATCCCTCTCTTCTGAAGTACTCAAGGCTTGACCACGGATGGTGGAGATGGCAGTAGCACTTAGACTTGTATACCGCTTCATAGTGCCTTACAGCCCTCTCTCCACCTCCTCCCCCCTGGCTCTCTGCTCCCCACTTGTCCATCTTCTTTACGAGTCCTATGGGTGTATTTTCTTCTTCTTTGTTTATTATTTTTTTCTATTATTTTATTTTCGCTTTGTTTAAACTTCCTTTTTTATTATTGTAAGCCGCCTAAAGTAATCCCATGGAGAAATAGGTAGCAAATAAATGTAATAATTATGGCAATATTCAAGTGTGGGGTTTGTCACAGATGAGTTTTAGTGCATGTGTGTGTGCATGCATGTGTAGCTAGACAGAGAGAGAAAAAGAATTGAGAGCGATCATTTATTTCTAAAATGACAGTGACTCCAAATGGAGTTGCTTCCAGTTCCAGAAGTACCCAAGAGAAAATGGAAAAGGTGAAAAGATTCTAGGGATGGAACCAAACTGATTGTTCAAAGTGGGTTTCTTTGTCTGTACATCTGAGCCAATCTTTTATCTGTAGATAATATCAGAAGATATAAGCGAACTTCAAAAAAACCAGACTACAACCATGGCCAAAATAGCTCAGTACAAGAGAAAGCTAATGGATCTTTCCCATCGAACGTTGCAGGTAAGCCTGTGCTTGCAGATTTTTATTTTTATTTTTGCCTTTCAGTAAAAGAAAATAGAGCCTGTTTGCATTACATAAACTTAAAAATGTAAAAGATCCAGAAAACTTTAGTTCAGTCAGGAAGTCAACCTGATGAGATGGCTGGAGAAGAAAGTATATGCTAGTCCAGTGATGGCTAATTTTTTCGTTGTCGTGTGCCAAAAGTGCGCACGCACATGTGCCTGCACCCATAATGCAATGCATGTGTGACCTCCTCTGCCCCCCCTGGGCATGCATGCACGTCTCCCACGTGCCTGTTTCCCCCTGCGCATGCGCGGCAGATACCTGACAATCGGCTGGCTGGTGGGGGCGCGTGCGCATGCACAGTGAATCAGTTCCAGGCAATGGCTCACGTGTTGGCAGAAATGGCTCTGCGTGCCACTTCTGGCATGCGTGCCATAGATTCGCCATCATGGTTCTAGTCTAATAAATGTTCAGAAATGCAATTGTACTCTTAGAGTTACATTTTCCAAAGGTTGCAGTGCTGTTTTAGCCATTTATTAAAGTTATATGTAGTCCATCTGCTAACCTACAAAAATATATGTATTGGGAACAAGAATATTCATAAATATAATTTAATGTATGTATTAAAAATAGGATATATAATATATAGTAGAAAATTGCTTGATGAGGAGAGAAATGAACAAAACATTTGTAAAGGGAAATGCTTATATTAAGAGAAATATACATAGAAATACTTCCAGATTTTGGCAAGATTTTGCAATCGGTGTAAGAATGGGAAAATAATTAGCTAAATAGAGACTTAATTGCTAAGGTCTGCTACAAATCCATTCTTTTCTCTCCTCCCATCTATTATATATAAGGTAAAATGGTGCCAAGTTCTACAACCTTAATATAGCTAGCCAGGTGAACTATGCCCTTTCTCTCTTAGTATATATGTTACAGGTTTTACATCTTACTGTGAAACCTTCACATTGCCCTTGAGGCTAAAAGTAGGTAGTAAGCAGCCCTCACCAATCACAGAGAAACAGAACAACATTGTGAACTGACCAGAGGTGCTTCTTTATTGTTGCTTGCCTGTTTACAGGAATCTGGCCAGGCTGACTACATTCTACTGGTAGAAGAGAATATTTATAGCTCAGGGTTGAACTTTGGGATCCTTGGTGCCCTCTGAGTTTGGTTGTCTTCTTGCAGACATTTCGCCTCCCTGCAAAGGTTCCAAGCTCATCAGTCTTCTCACTCCTCCCCCAGCTGGAGGTTCCACCACAACGTTCTTGGAATGCTGTGGGATGGAGCTCCATCGGAACAAACCTGGGCCAGGTTCTCCCTGCTTCCCAAAGGATTAATTTTCTTTAATTATTTTTTGAAACATTTGTTGCAGGTGTTAATCAAGCAGGAGATCCAGAGGAAAAGCGGGTATGCCATCCAAGCGGACGAGGAGCAACTCCGGGTGCAGCTCGATACCATTCAGTGCGAACTGAACGCCCCTACCCAGTTCAAGGTGAGCAGCTCAGAAGGTTGCAGTGAGACCCCCCCACAACCTCAGACAAAACTAATCAGAACAGATTCCCAAGAATGGATCAAATAGATTTCTGTATTGTTGATTGCCATGTTACAAGAATCTCGCTAGATTGTCTGCCTTCCCTTGTTAAACGGCAGGCCTAAGCGATCGACCTTTGGTTTCTCCTACCAAATGGACTCTTAAGATGGAGCGACCTTTAACACACACATACCCCAGTCAGGGTGTCTTCTCCCAGATAGTCCACCACACCTGATGCCCTACAGGTATCCCTCAAATTACGACCTACAATTGAGCCCAAAATTCCCATTGCTAAACAAGACAGTCGCTTAGTGATTTGTGCTTCATTTTACAACCTTTTATTGCCACCGTTGTTAACTAAATTGCTGCAGTTCTTAAGCAAATACGGCTTCCCCCGCATTGAGGAGCTACAACAATGGTCATATGACCCTAGGGTCATTCAACATAAATACCTGCCAGTTGCCAAGGGCCTGAATTTTGATCATGTGACCACGGGGGATGCTGCAAAGGTCATAAGTGTGAAAAGCAGCAATAAGTCACCTTTTTTGGTGTCATTGTAACTTCAGTCACTAAAGGAATGGCTGCAAGCTCAGGTCTACCTGTATGAGCCTTCAAAATGAATGTTTACATGCCATATCAGTCTTAAATTGCATTTAAGCTATTGGGAAAAGACCTCTGCTGTTTCTGAAGCTCCCTTGAGGGTTTCCAGAGAGATGCATCCAGTTTTAATAGCAGAATTCCTCTTTGAAAACCTTGAGTAGCAGATTAAGCCTGTGGTCCTTGAACACCTATGGATTTGTTTCAAATTAGATTAGATTAGGAACAGAACAGAACAGCTTTATTGTCACTTTGAATGTACGCTAATCGGCGTACATTAAAAATAAAATTTCATTGCATACAGCTTTCAAAGGGTCTCCACCTCCAATATACATTACCTAACCATGACTGCAACTTTAGTGAGAAGTTAATGAATTAGATCATCTTTCACCGTACCCAAACGCTTTTAAATTGTAAGCGATGAAATCACACTTTTGAATGCTTTTCCATGCCAAACAACAACAGTGAAGATCCCTTCCATCTGAGGCACTAATTTTATACACAGAATGGATTTTTTTGCAGGTAGGAAAATGTAAACGAAATAACACCGCTCGCTCTTCGTCCTTACTTCATGAATGCCTAAACCAGATTTGAATTTTGTAACTATCTTTTCCAGGGTCGGCTGAATGAGCTGATGTCACAGATCAGAATGCAGAACCACTTTGGAGCTGTCAGATCCGAAGAGAGATACTATATTGACGCAGATCTCTTAGGGGAAATCAAACAGGTGTGCAGTGGCTGGTATTTATTGTGAACCAAATCGATGAACATGGGGCTGAAATCTTTGCTTGAATCAATGAGCTCACCTTCCTTAGTGACTTTATCTAGATTCTTTATCATTGATTTTGAAAAAAAAACTGAATTGTAACTCTCTGTAAACATCAGACACATACAAAATCTATTATGAGTTATACTGGGACTCATTCTAGAGTTCCATCGTTAAAATAGCTATTTTGTGCCTTTAATGGTAATATTTCTCACTATTGGCAACTTTAAGAAGCTTGGTCTTCAACTCCCAGAATTCCCATTTCATGCCTTCTGCATCCAGTTATACAGACCTCAACTCCTAAAAAACTCAGGAATAGAATTCAGGGAATTAGTGTGTGTGTGTGTGTGTGTGTGGATCTTTGGTTATTCGGGTTTTTTCCCGCGTAAGATTGGAAGTATCTAGGCAACATTTCGATGAAGTCTCATTCATCATCTTCAGGCTTGTGTCTTCGGCTCTGTACTTCTCAGAGTGAGGAAGACAGAGCCGAAGACACAAGCCTGAAGATGATGAATGAGACTTCATCGAAACGTTGCCTAGATACTTCCAATCTTACGTGGGAGAAAACCCGAATAACCAAAGATCCACATACTAATACCCGCGAGAACCTCAGAAAGTGTGTGTGTGTGTGTGTGTGTGTGTGAAGGCTATCTATACTGGGAATGTCTGATTTAAAATATAATAGCAGAACCGTTAAGATTCTTGCATAAAAAGAAAAGAGCCAACAGTTTTTTTGTTCCACCATTGTGAAGGATGATGTGAAAGAGGTAACAGTACTTTCATTTTTGATAAAATGGCTTAAGGAAACTGAGAAGCAAAATTTATGGTAGGGTGTTTAAAATAGAACCATCCTGTTCTCAAATAAAATCTTACAATGAAACCTTGCTGGAATGAGTTACATTCAGAACCAGAAATGCCAGTAATAATATTTTGTTAAAATGAACATAAGCGACAGAATGTTGATTAATGTTAATTAATTCTGTAACTAATTACAGAAACATGGTTGCATTAATAAATTCTAATTTGGAAATGTTGTGAAATACATGAATAGTTCCCGGAAATAATTGCTTCAAAATGAGAGCAAAACACCACAAGTTTCAGTGTGAGTTCCTCTAACCTCTTTCCAGGATTCCTTTCCTCTGATTACATGCTCATCTTTCCTCTGTCACCCCCATTTGAGATTTCAGAGAGAAGGGTGAAATTTGTGGGGGGGGTTTCAGTGTGCTCATAAAACGCCAAGTGGCAATGTTCAAAATCTGAGCAAAGCTTGGAATACTTTGGAGCCAATTTGATCCAGTGGTTAAGGCATCAGGCTAAAAACTGGGAGATTGAGTTCTCGTTCTGTCTTAGACATGAAAGCCACCTGGTTGACTTTGGACCAATCACGCTAGGACAGGGGTCTCCAACCTTGGCAACTTTAAGCAAAGCTGGCTGAGGAACTTTGGGAGTTGAAGTCCACAAGTCTTAAAGTTGCCAAGGTTGGAGAGCCCTGCTCTAGGAGACCATGGATTCTAGTCCCACCTAGACATGAAAGCCGGCTTTTGGCCAATCACTAGGAGGTGATGAGTTCTAGTCCCATCTTAGACATGAAAGCTGGCTGGGTGACTTTTGGCCACTCTCTCTCTCTTCAACGCACCTCACAGGGTGGTGGTTATGGAGAAAAATAGGAGGAAGGAGGTGGTACATTCACCCCCTTGAGTTATTTATAAAACGAATAAAGACAGGATAAAAATAACATAAATAAATGCTCAAAGGAAGCAATCTATATGCAATTTTCTCTTTCTCTTTTTTAGCATTTGAAGCAGCAGCAGGAAGGACTGAGTCACCTGATCAGTATTATAAAAGATGACCTGGAAGACACAAAGCTGATAGAACATGGCTTGAATGAGAGCATTCCGGTTAGAGGGGGCATCTTCAGTTGATCGATGGGTCCTTTCCATTGACTCTATACCTTGTTTTCCTTCACTGAAATTCACCGGGTGGTTCTTTGGACCATAAATCTTAGTGAAGGTTCTGAGAGAGTGCCAGGTATTTGGCACTCTACCCTGAAGGTCAAAAGGGATAAAGGTTCTAGGAAGAAAAACCAACTGCACTTGATTTTAAGGTGGAAGGATACTTTAGAAACCGCTCTGTGATTTAAGCCTGCATTTCTATTATGTTCAACTAGGTCTCGGTTTTGTCTCTTGATTTTCCGAACAACACTTCCAGTGTTCAATTATTGGTGGGGAAAATAACACACCTACTCTGTATGAGAAACAACACAAAACAACTGGTTTAAAGGTGAAACACACCTGCCAATGTTTGGGAAAGAAACACAGGGCAAAAGTGTGTTCTCCACCCCACCCCACTCCACCCACCTTGTGCTTAACAATAACAAAACTCTCATAATTTTATATCAGTTCATCAGAATTTACAATGTTACTGAAAGGTAATGAAATCTGCTTTCTTTCTGTTATTTGCTCTCTGTAGTGGATGACTTGTTTTCAAGATTACTACAGATGGGAACTGGGTCTAGGAGTTTTAATCTTGCCCAATCACTAATTAATCTGTTGGCCTAAATATCCTATGAGATTTGGAGCTACCAACATCCCTATCCACCACCTTCTGCTTTCAAGTAATACAATAGAAACCTTCATTTGAAGCAGTGCCTGTAGCTTTAACCCAGGACTCTCCAAACCTGGCAACTTTAAGACTTATGGACTTTAACTCCCAGAATTCCTTAGGCAGCCATGCCTCTCTGGGAGTTGAAGTCCACAAATCTTATTTGGAGACACACAACCCCCCCTCCCACGTTTTAACGTCCTTCTCCTAATGTATGGCACAGAAGAGGAATTGTGCCCTCTGTGTTATATTTCCTAAGGTGAAAATGAAATCCTGCGTGCGAAAAGTTTTTTTTTTTTTAAAGTATTGCTTTACTTTACCTAGTGCCAACCTTTCAGATTTCTTGGCAGAATGAAACAGCAGCTCCTGTTATTAATTGCACCAGGGAGAATAAAGGCAGACTGTCAAACTGGACTGTGCTTACAAGTAGTTGGCTGCACTAAGTCATCTTGGCATCACTCCAAAATGCAAATGATCCATATCCAACTGGAATGAAAAACTGTATTTTTGAAATTTAGATGAGCAATTATGGTTAGAACCCAGTTTCGACCATTCTATGTTATTGCCTCTGCACAATGGTTTTGAAAAATTAAATAACTGTATACTATAGTGGTTTTGGAAAAATCTCAAACTGACAAATCAACATGTAAATGAAACAGACCTGAAACAAAGATACTTTTTGATTTTGGATTAGACATGATTGTGTAAGACTTAATTTTAAACCTTTCTTTTGCTAATGTATTAATCAGCCAAACTTGGCAATGATAACATTTTTTTTTTATTTGACCCACGTTGAAACTGTAACATAAAGGAAATGTCTGGTCATTGGATACTGTTGATAAAACTTTATTTGTATTATGCTTTAAAATGGAGTAAGACATTAAAAGCAATGTGGCTTTGAGTTTTTTCAAGCACTTTTAAAAAAAAGCTTCAATGCTTGAAAGTTACTGAGGGGGAAAAAAATTCAGATTTTTTTTTCCTGTTGAATTAAAAGTAAAAATAGCTCCATTTGCAGCAGTAAATAATTCACAATTTGGAGTTAGTTCAGAGGCAGATTTTGGAGTAAAAGAGGAGTACAGAATTAGCAACCTTGTTTTGAGGCAGCAGGTTTTACCCTACTAGCCCAGTTCATGGTGGCTTTGATCTTCACTAGGAAGGTGGTTGTTTGACTAGGCGGAATGCCTCAAGGAACTCATTGAAGTCGATTTTCCCATCCTTGTTGAAATCCATGCTGCGGGCCAAATCACGGATGTTTTCATCGGAGATATCAATATTCATATGGGCACTGAACAGCTTCCACATTTGATGGAACTCTTCGAGACAAATAAATCCTGCAGGACGAGAACAAAGCGCAATCTTTCTTGGGGTGGGAAGGTCGGAAATAACAGTAATATCACTTCTGTGTCTCCCAATTATGTGATTTTTTTTTAAAAAAAAGTCTGCCGCTTTTTAAATGTACTTGATTTGCAAAAAAAGAGTCTTGATTCTGAGATTGCAGTGGCCATCTTGACTCGGCACCTGGGGTCATCTTGTTTCTCTGTTTAGGTAAGGAAATGCCTCTGAAACTGTGACTCAGGAATCCCCTGGTTATTTAGTTCCTTATAAAATCAGCAGCAGCATTGTTCTGGCCTCTGCCGGTGTATTATAAAATGCTGGGATAGAAGTTAATACTATTGTACCTTCCACGTGCATATAAAACCATAACACTTAGCTTTGTACACGAATGATCACTTTGGCTATTAAAAAAGGAAATTGGCAGATAATAAATGGCTTTTACCTGAACAATCGGTGTCAATGAGGGAGAAGATCGTCTCCAGATTGGATAAATTTCGGTAAATGCTTTCCAGCAAACTCGACTGAAGGCGCTGAAAGAAACAAGCATGCAAAAACCCCTTAATCTGTTTTCAAAACGTGGCTAGAATTAGTCAAATAGACTTAACATAGGGTAAAGATATGACCTTGAAAACAAATTTATGTTTTGTGAACGTCTATGGAATGATGGTTCTTCAGTCTCCCTGGTTCCCACATTGTCACCAAATTCCATAGTTGGCAAGAAATTTCAGGAAGAGAAGGAGAAAGGGAATAACAGAGTTGGAAGGGGCCTTGGAGGTCTTCTAGTCTAACCCTCTGCTCAAGCAGGAGACTTTATGCCAAGTCAGCTCCAGTGACGGAGCACCCACAACTTCTGAAAGCAAGCTATTCCACTGATGGTTCTTCTCACTGTTAGGAAATTTCTCCATAGTTCCAGGTTACTCCATAGTTCCCCTTGATCAATTTCCATCCATTGTTTCTTGTTTTGCCTTCTGGTGCTTTGGAAAATAGGTTGACTCCTCTTCTTTGTGGCAGCCCCTCAAATATCGAAACACTGCTAGCATGTCACCCAGTAGTGGGATTCAAACTTTTTACCACCAATTCAGTGGGCGTGCTTTGCGTGTGCGCAGAGGGTTTGTTACTGACGACCTGCAATCCTGCACTCTCCCTGTGTCTTCAACAGCTGATAGCTGCGCGAAGCAGCTGAGCTTCAAAACCAGGAAATAAAGGTCAGAATAGAACCTGGGAAAGTGGGCCCAGCAGCTGATCGTCGGAGCAAACCGGTTGGCTCACAGATGATACTTGGAGCTACCGGTTCAACTGAACCGGGCCAAATCGGTAGAATACCACCACTGATGTCACCCCTAATCCTTATTTTCAGTAGACTAGACATATCCAATTCCTGTAATTAATCTTCATGTGTTTTAGCCTCTTGACCCCTGATCATTCTTGTTGCTCTTCTCTGCACGCTTTCTAGAGTCTCAACATCTTTTTTATATTGTGACCAGACCTAGGTGCAGTATTCCAAGTATAGTCTTACTAAGTCTTTATAAAGCAGTACTGATACTTCACACGATCTTGATTTTATCCTTCTGTTAATGCAGCCTAGAGTTGTACTGGCTTTTTTTGGCTTCCGCCACACGCTGCTGGCTCATATTTAAGTGATTGTCCATTAGGGCTCCCAAGATCCCACTCACAGTTACTGCTATTAAGCTACGTTTCACTTAATCTGTATCCGTACGTTTGATTTTCCTTGCCTAAGTGTAGAAAAGGAACGTGACTATTGGTACGTGATGCTGGTTATCTTCATTCCCAGAGACCCTCTTGTCCGGAGGTCCCCAAACTTGGCAAATTTACGACTTCAATGCTGGCTGGAGAATTCTGGGAGTTGAAGTCCACAAGTCTTAAAGTTGCCAAGTTTGGGGACCTCTGCTCTAGTCTAGTGCAATACCTCTTGGGTTGAAGATTTCTCTTCTGTCACGATGTCTTTCAGCCACGCCCTGTAGTCCACTCTTCCATTGGTCAGCTGCAATATCAGATGTGGTCTCAGCATCCGCCATGGCAATCCCAGCTGGAGGACTGACTCGATGGCCTTGGCCCAGTCGTTTACACTGATGAGGCCTGTGAGAACACAAAAATAAAATGGTTTCAGAAGGACTTCGTGAAGGACCAGCCTTATACGTAGGGTAGTCCTTGAATGATGACCATAGTGGATCCTGGGTTTGGTGGCCATTAGGTGAATCGGTTTTTAAGTAGAAGGGTTGTTCAGGGAGTGCAGCAGTTGTAAAGTGAATCAGTGGTTCACTGTGGGCCACAGTTTTGCCAAAAACCAAAAGTAACCCAGTTTTTGGCAAAATTGTTGTAAAATGCAGTCACATGACTGCAGGGTGCCTCTGACAGTTGTAAATCTGCCTGGTTACATATTAACAGAGTTAGAAGGGACCTTGTAGGTCATCTACTCCAACCTCCGGCCCAAGCAGGAAACCCTACACCATTTCTGACCATCTCTTCTTAAAAGCCTCCAGTGATGAAGCTCCCACAACTTCCGAAGGCAATTTCTGTTCCATGGGTTGATTGTTCTCACTGTCAGAAAGTTTCTCCTTATTTCCAGGTTGGATCTCAGTTTCCACCCATTATTCCTTGTCTGGCCTTTGGGTGCTTTAGAAAATAGCTTGACCCCCCTCCTCCTCTCTGTGGTAGCCCCTCAAATATTGGAAGACTGCTATCATGTCTCCCCTGGCTCTCTTCACTAGACTAGCCTTGCCCAGTACTGTGGTCTCCTGGCAGCCTGCAGAGACGGCAGTAGAGTCGGACAGTGGGGAAAAACATGGGCCAGTCCTGGAGTCTGGAGGGGACTCGGACGATGGTCCTGTGTCCCATACAAAGATGGGGCCAGGGCCACGTGGAAGTTATGTGCTGACTCCGGAGCCTGCAGAATCTGGCAGCAGCGAGGCTGAGGAACCAGAGGAGCCTGTTCCCAGTGTGCCTGTGAGCAGAGCTGCCTGAAAGCAAGTGCAGTTAAGACAAAAGGGGCGACTTAGGAGTAAGGCTTGGAGGTGATTGCCCTTCCTATAAGATATAAAGGAAGTGCAAAGGGACAGGAACCTTTGCAGGAAGCAACATTGTTCACTCTGGTCGGTTTGGAACCTGGTGAATTTGTGCTCCATTTGGTTTT